AAATTCTCAAGGCCAAATTTAGAAAACAAACCCTGTTGAAGCTCTATAACCTTGGGGTTTTTTTTCTTTTATGTTTTTGTTTTTTCTATAGGCATATTGTAAGGGCTATCTTAAAAAGCCCTTGCAGATTGTTTTTAACTTACCCCAATGAAGTTATATTTGTTTTTGTTTCAGTCTTAAACTGAATAATCCAGCCCTATGCCCCTAGTATATTAGTAAAGCACCTAGTTTACTTTTAACAGGATAAAAATATGGGTTGTTTTATGATGCACCTCACCATGTGCACACCTCTTTTAAAATTTTACATCCGCCCATGTGAGTGTATGTAGCCTGGGTGTACACAGGTTTGTACTTCCCTCTCCAATTGAGGGAATTATTGGCAGGGCAGTGTGCTATAGAGGAACACAACAGCCCAGCAGCCACCTCTGTCCCCTATAGAGTCAGGTCCAGTCAATCAATTACTTAACTGGTTGGATCAATGGGCAGAGAAAAATGGGATGCAATTTAATAAAGATAAATGTAAGGTACTCCATCTGGGAAGGAGGAACCCCCAGCACACCTATAGGTTGGGGAGTGTCCTTCTCAGCAGCTCAGAGGCAGAAAGGGATCTTGGAGTCATAATTGACTCCAAGATGAACATGAGCCGGCAGTGTAATGAGGTCATCAACAAGGCCAATCGCACCTTGTCGTGCATTAGCAGGTGAATGACTAATAGAACAAAGGAGGTGATGCTCCCCCTCTATGCGGCACTGGTCAGGCCGCAGTTGGAGTATTGTGTCCAGTTTTGGGTGCCGCACTTCAAGAGGGACACGGGGAATCTGGAGAGGGTCCAGAGGAGGGCCACTTGCATGATTAGTGGCCTTCGTTTACTAAGGCGCCCCAGGGAGTGACTAGGAATAACGGGTGTAAACTAGTTGAGAGTAGATTTAGGTTAGGTATTAGGAAGAAATTTTTCACAGTAACGGTGGCCAGGATCTGGAATGGGCTTCCAAGAGAGGTGGTGCTATCACCTAGCTTGGAGGTCTTCAAGAGGAGGCTAGATAGTCACCTGGCTGGGGTCATCTGACCTCGGTCCTCTTTCCTGCCAGGCGCAGGGGGTCGGACACGATGATTCATTGTGGTCCCTTCCGACTCTACAATCTATGAAACTATATACAGATTTATTATTACAACAAAACCATTAAAGGATAAGGACATAGATTTTATATATATACACACACCCACCCAGTTATCATTTAAAACACAGATGAACAATAGAACAAACCAGACCAAAAGATATTGATCAGGCAACCTTATAACTTTATTCATATACAAACTATTACTTCAAATTATTCACATAAACTGTAGGGCATAGTTCACAAATATAATCAGCAGTCCTTAGACTACCTGGGTTCCCTCCAAGGCAGGGGCCCCACTCCCAAGGTACCATTATAGGAAAGAAGGTGGGGGGGAAAAAAAGGAAAGGAAGACCCCAAAGACTCCTAAGCTTCCCCGCTATCACCCAGGAGCAGCCCATGTGGTGCCCCATTGCAACCCTTGGGGGGGTCCCTCTCTCCAGGGTAACTTACTAATCCACAGTCCTGGAGGGTTGCCTCTTGTTCTCCAAGTCAAGCTCCCTCCCCCTCCGGGTTTTCCTGCCGCCTGACTCTGCTGCCGCTGTCCTGGCTTTGGGCCACATGCACCACTGTGTATAGTGAGCGCTTCACCTTGTTCTAGGCGTTGGACGCCTGGACAGCCTTGTGCAGCACTGAGATTCGGTCTGTTCCCGGACCCTCTGGGCAGTGTCGTCTGCACTGAGCTGCTGTCCCGTGTCAGCAGCTATAGACCCGAGCCACCTCAAGCAGCTCCCAGGGTCTCTCACCCTCCGTGCACCACCTCCTGCACCGAGCTCCCAGCCTAGTTCCGGGGGTTGAAGGCCTGAGCCACAACAGGGGGCTCCAAAGATCCTTCTCCATGCACCAGCCTGTGCACCATGTCTCTGGCCACCTGCTAGAGGTTGCAGACCCAAGCCGCCTTTCGCAGCTCCCAGGATCTGGACACTGTGTGCTGTGCTGTGCGCCAAGAGCCTAACCGCTGGAGCAGTGCCATGCTGCCCGCTGATAGAAGTCTTCAGGAGCTCTTCCTGGGCTAGTGCTTTGCCCTGCTGAGCAGCTCTCTTTAGCTCTTCTAAGCCCTGCTCTTCTCTCCTCTGTCCCCAACACATCTGCCCCTCCTGCTGGGCACGCAGCTCCTTTTATATGCTCCAGGACTCTGCCCCTGAAATCTTCCAGCCCTGACAGTTTGCAGTCTTCAATCAGGTCCGGAGGAGCTCTTCTCCCCCTTCCCTCAGGAAAGGGGCGTGATGTTATTTCTCTTACTGCCTCCTGATTGGTGGATGGGCTCCACCAATCAAAACAGCAGGATCTCAAGCCTGAGGTTCAACCCAAGCTCTGAAAGTTAAGCCTGCTACATGTACATATGTAGCATGGCTGGATCTAACATTTGGAAAAGGGGGTGCACATGGTGAGATGCATCATCACATATAACACAACAAAAAAAGAGACTAGAAGCTTTACTAATATGCTAGGTTATAATGAGCCATGAATAAGGGTCTATGGAACTCAAGGAGGCGGCTGGGTCATTTCACAGACAGATCCTGGGGCCGGCTGCCATTTTCACAGGCTGAGCACAGCAGCTGCGTTCCCCGCCACCACGCCTTTGACTGGCTGAGGATCCCTGGAAGTCCCACCCCTCTCCATAGATTGCCACATGGCCCAAAACCCTGGCATAATTATCCTGATTAATCCCCGGGAAGGTAATTAAGCCACAGTTTCATGCCATCTCCAGGTGGTGAGCTCTGTGATTTTGGCTGGTGCACTGCACAAAAAAAAACTCACCAGCAAGCAGAGAGTCTTAGAAGATGGGGAAGAGAGGGGAAGTGGGGAACAGGGAAGAAGGGGCAGGGGGGAGGGAGGGCGGGGTGGGGCTGCTTGCAGCAGGAGGCATGGAGGCTGCAGGCAGCTACTGTGAGCAGGTAACCCAGGATTCAAAATATGGGGGGGCTGAGCCCCCCATAAGAGATGAGAGCCCCCAGCCCTCTCCGTGCCTTTCTAAGTCGCTCAGGCGACAGTGGTGGAGGCTCTTTCTGGCAGCCACTGCCACAGCCCCTCAAAAGTTCGAGTGTAATTTGAACCCTGCCCCCCTACCTGTACTCCAAGACTCTATTTGCTAGTAAGTTTTTTGGGGGTTTTTTACAGCGAGCCAGCCAAAATTGTGGAACCTGCTGTTTTTTGCAGAGCCTGCCTGAATTCATGGTTTCTGTGAAAACTGTGCAGTTGCAAATTCTGTAGGTCTCTAGCTACGAAGTTAATTGACTCCCTCACTGCTGCTTGACTAGAAATGTTGCTGCCTCTGCTAGGCAGTTGGTTTTAAAGACTGGGTGGACCTGGAATCAAAGAGGGGTGCAAGTGCACCAATGCATCCCCTTCCCCCTGCACAAATCTGCTACTGAAGATGATGCCAGGGTAGTGAATTGGCTTCACTTCACACAGTACATGCAGCAGAGCTGGAATCACAGCCTAGAACTCTCCATAACAGCCCACTTCATTCTCTAACTACCAGACACTTTATTCAACCTCGGTTTATAAAAGTAAACCGAAAATATAAAATAGAGGGGTTTATTGTTGTTCTTCACTATGTGATCATAACACACAGCATCAGGGTTCGAATTATACTTTGACCGTTGCGGGGCGGTCTGTGGTGGTGGCAGCCAGAAGCTGGAAGAAGCCACCACCGCCATGACCTGAGCTGCTTAGAAAGCGGGGCAGGCCAGGGGGCTCTCGTCTCTTATGGGGGGGCTTATGGAGGGCTCTTGTCTCTTCTGGGGGGCTCAGCTCCCTTGAGTCCCCATGTATTTTGGACCCTACACAGCAAACAACACACAGAACTGAATCACAGAGAAGCAGGGCTGGAAGGGACCTCCAGAGGTCAGCCTGCCTGACCCCCTGGCTGAGCCAGGTCATCCCTATCCAAACTGCTCTACACAATCAATCATCTAAACTCTACATAAGACTATTTGTGAACCCTGACACAACACAGACCTAACACCTGAACCTCCCACAGGTAAAGCAGAGGAACCATGGAAGCATTTTTTAAGCTTTCATTTGAATGGTATGCTACTCAGTAGGTGTATCTACATGTGCTGTTAAGGCGACGTGATAATCTCCAGTGCAGTTTGCACCGCAGTCAGCTACTCCAGGGCCCAGTGTCTGCACGCGTGCTTGGGACTGCAGCAGGATGAGCTGGGGTGGAGCAGTCCCCAGATGGCAGCAGGCTTTGGGGGGTCAGCCCTGGGCCCTAGGTGGTAGTGTGGGGCAGTGGAGAGGCTGGGTGGGGCACAAGAGTGTAAACCTGCAGAGCCGGATAACTGCCCTCCCTGGCTCCCGCCCAAGCCTGCTGCTAGCCCCGGGGCTGCTCCGCCCCAGCTCAAAGTGCTGCAGGCCAGGCATTGTTCATGTGTGTTTCTGTGCAGTAAAAGACTCCACCGTAAGATAGTACTGTCCTGGACCATGCTATTGCATGGTGGAGCTAATTAATTTACTGTGCCCTAATTTTGTGTAGATGGTGATGCTGTAGCGTACAGCTAATTAGTCAACTCCACAATAAAGTGTACTTGCACCCAGCGTATGCATGAGGAAGGAGGGAAAGATGAATTACATAGGATTGGCTTTGCTTTGGAGCCTTTCCAGAAAATGTAGGCATGTTTCGAACCTGATGGTTAGCTCACTAGTTTTTATTTATGTTTTATTATATTTCTATGTTCATTTGTCTGGTTATAGAAACACACTTAAAATATACACACAGACACACACACACATATGCATCTATGTACATGTATATACACATACAAGCATACGCATATACGCCCATGCATATATATATGTATATATGCACACACACATACATGCATACACGTATACGCCCATGCATACATACACACACACATACACGGATACACATATATGCCCATATATACACATACACCCCTCCACCCACGCACCCCCCGTCCAAGCAGGCGGCGGCCCGGCCTCAGGCGCCCCCGGCCCGGCCCGGCCCACCCTTCCCTCCCTGGCAGCCTGAGGCCGCGGCCACGCTGGGCCGGCTGCCTCAAGCTGGGTATCCAGGGCTCCTACTTCTGCTCTCAGGTGAGCCCGCCCCGCGGCGGCCGCATCCTGGTGGAGGCCGGGCCTGGGTCCCCTCCTCTCCCCGCCGGGGCCGAGGCCGAGCCGGCCCGAGCAGCACGTGGGGCGCGGGGACCCTGAGGCGGGGCTGGGCCGTCTCGGGCTGCATGGACTCGCCCCCGCGGCCCAGTAGCGTGGTGGGCCCCCGGGAGCGCTGGCCCTCTCTTTTCACCTGGGCTTGGCCCGCAGAAACGTGGCAGAACAGGTTTGAGGAGACCTGGGCAAGAGCAGGGCTACCGGCCTCCCTTCATTTTGGGCACCACGTGTGCGCCCTCCTGGGGTCTTCCAGGAGGCTGTGGCACCCGGTGCCCGAGGCAGTGGTGTCTGCTGCACCCCCACAGCGCCGACTGACTCCCAAGTTCTGCAGCCTGACTTGCCCTGGCTGGGTGTATTGGGAGATAGGGGCAGCAGGAGGCCCTTGCAGAGGGAGGGAGTGGTTTTTATTTTTGACAGGGCTGGATATGGAGACCTGAGGCAGGGGCTATTGCTTACCAAAGCTGGAGACCCTCTGAGTTAGTCTGTAAGGTTCCCCCGCCCCCTTGTCTCCTGCCTGCAGGTTTCACTGAGGAAGTCACTCTAATTCATGTCTTACAGATGCTCCCAGTACCTGGGGCTGTGACTTTTTTTTCCCCACCAGGATGCCACAGCACCTTTCAAGGGCGCTGTGTAATGCCAAGCAACCATAGCACTTTGAGGTGCGGTAACATCTCCATGCAATTCACGAGATAAGCCTAGAGATTTTAAATAGGAATCCATAGTTTTTAAAAACATCCTGCCCTGCCGTGCCTTTTGGAGCTCTTTGCAACAGAAGAATTCCTCTATTATTTTTCTGTAGTCAAAGTCAAAAAACAGATGAAAATTAAGAGCTGACATCTTCCAAGGAGTGCCTCAAGTCTAAAAAGAGTTGAGAACCGCTGGTCTGTGGGATGTGCCTGCACCTCTTACAGGTCTGCAATGTTCCACCTTCATGCAGACAGGCTAACTGTAATGTAATATACAGTATTCTACATGTCTCAGCTTTATAGTCCTCTCAATATATTGCTGATGGTTGAAAGTGGCGCACACAGATTAAATTGTTTTAAATGCCTTTCTGTCTCTGGGATGCACAAAGTAGACTTGTTGCTTTGAAAATAAAACTCATCTGTTTTGTTAGTTGTACTTATCAAATAAGAGTTCTTGAAATATTGTTGGCTCTCTTTTTTTTAAAAATCCCCTAATGTATAATATCCAAATATTTTACTAAATTAACTAAAGTTTGAGTGTTTCTTGCCTATAAACCAGTAGAGAGCATTTAAAGTAGTGGCCCTTAATCTGTCTTTCACGTGCAGCATTGCTTGTGGCCATAGGGATACTGGCTTAAAGGGGAGCAAAATTTGATGCATGTTACTTAGTATTGTTGACTGTGACGCATCAAAGTTTGGGGACCACTGATTTAAACAGTATCTGTAGGCCTTGGGTATACTGTCTTACTACCAGAACTAAAATGTGCTTAGCTCTGGTTTAGAAACCTCTCTCCCCTGTTCTGGTTTGAAAAATGTAAAGTGCACAATAAAATACACTGTCTAATTGCAGAAGCCCTCTGTTTGTTGAATGCCCATTTAAACAAGTGAGGAAATGCTTATTTGATGCATAATTAACTGTTGGAATTAAATGTTGAAAGAATATTTCAAGGTAAATTCAGCAGATTGGGGGAAAAAAAGTAAACATGAGGACAGCAAAAACATTCAGTTACATGAGATTCATGTGCCTTACATGTAGAAGTTCTGTTTCTGAACATAAACCAACCATTAGCTGCTTGGGGTTCCGGAGAAACTTCCCATGTACGCAGGTTATTTTATAAGCATCCACTACATATGTCTTTGGGGAAATTCTGGTAATACCTGCAAGGTTTCTTTTCTCTTCTAGATCTTCAGACTAGGGTAGGAGGATTCTTATCTATTATACTTGGAAATCTTGTATTGGATTACTGGTGTCTGGTTGTAAGTTGCAAGGAAGTTATTCGAAATGGTTATTCAACAGAGTGGCTTAATAGATAGAGCACTGGGCTGGGAGACTTTTTTGTTTTCAGCTTTGTCACTGGGAAACCTGCTTATTCTTTCTGCGCCTCAACTTTACGATATGTAAAACAGGGATAGTGGTAACTACTTCATTTGTAAGATGCTTTAAGTAAAATGCTTCATAAGAAAGCTAGGTTATACTAAAAGTTAGACTGCAAGATTTACCAAAACTTGCAACAGTTTTTTTTGTTGACAGTATTGCAAATATTTTTCTTACCCTTTTCACTGAATGTCTGCAAACATCTACATTATGAACAAATAAAACATTTGGTAATTATTTCAGTGTTCCATTTGCATGCTCAGGACAGACATACTAGATATATGAACTGGCTGAAAGTCAGTAATGGAAATGCTAACTTTGTTCGTTTCTGAAACTGCTTCGAAGTTGTCACCTCTTTGAGATGAATGAAAAGAACTTCACACCGTTGTTTCATTTCTGTCTGCAGACCCAGATGACAAAACTCTAGTGATTTACCTTTTGAATGTTACCGTCATGCCTTTAGCCATCTTTATATGGAGGTAACATTCAAAAGGTAAATCACTAGAGTTTTGTCATTTGACGTCTGCAGACAAAAATGAAACTATGTGAAGTTTCCCCCGTTTATCTCAATCACGCTGAACAAGTTACTGAAAAGTAGGTGAGGGTAAGGCTTTATTTACTGGATGCCAGGTGCTGCCTGTGTGTGTGCTTCTCATTGAAATAGGGGTAAGCTACAGAGAGCGAAATCATAGAATGGCTGATGTATGGTAAAGCCTCACCCTCCTCTTTGTGGTAACTTTGTGTGTCTATGCCCTTAGATTTAAAAGAAAACACACTAAAGAGAAATATTGAATGTATGCATTTCATTACTCACAATCCTGGATGTTAGTATTTACCCTTGGCATTCCATGTTTCTTGATACAGGAATCTACATATGATTTTATGAAATTATAAGTCATTTCAACAAGTGCATAAAATATAAACAGCACAAATAATTTAAGCAAGAAGCTAAGATTGTGCACCATTTAGGCTGGAAAACTAAATGTAGAATAATAAGGGGATACAATTTCATTTGTCCTAGTGTTTTCTGTGGGTGCCCATAGTCATAGTATTAAATTGCAGTTTCTAATTAAATGATATCTGGAGAACCAAGTCTCATGTGGACTTCTGTCACCTTCATTCCTCCTTTTAATAAAGGGTGCTTGTAATTTTTTTCCTTCCTCTGTTCTCAAAAAGAAGACAGCTCAGTGGTGTGCCCTTAAAAATGGCTACCACGAAGGTAATTTGACCTTTGAACTTTCATTCCATGGTCTTAAGTTTGGCAACCAAAACGTTTTAGTTTCTTGGTCTTCTGCACTTTGAGCTGGGCATGTCTGACATGAGTACAGTTGGCTGAGAGAAGCATGGAGATGTGACTGATGTAACTGGTCCAGTCCCATCCATGACTTTGAAGATTAGTATCAGGGTCTGGAACTGGCAAGGAATACAGTAAGGGTTGATTGGGGTTGGAGTACAGAGATGTGTACTCAAAAGTTTGCTAGGAGCCTCTGTGGTTGCTTCTGTCTTTAGTCTGAGATAGAGTAAGATTCAAGATTTCTCCACTGAAGGATGTTCTCTGTTAGTCAATGTGATGTGAATCCTGGGCGTCCTGTTTGACTTCATTTAGCTTAGCTAATAAAGTGCACTTGGTACCAAATAACTTCTTCCACCTCCAGTTGAGGAAACCTACACTCATTCTCTCAGAGGCAGAGCATATGCCACAATGATGCATACATATGTCAGCTTGTGATCAAATTACTGGATCTCACTGTATCTTGGAAGGCAGGTAGAAGTAATGTAGAAGCTCAGCAGCTTACCTTGAGCATGCTGTTTCAACACTCAGGATGAATTCAGGCATCTGAAACCTTCCTTCCTATATGGATACACACCCATGTGTGCACTGCATATAAAAATATCTAATATATGGAACAGTGTATATGACTGTATATTACTTGACTTATAATTCAGTTTGTATAATCTTATGAACAGCTGGATAGTATGTATTTAGGAGAAATGAGAGGATAATGGTAGACCTCTACTTCTTGCCCTTATTCTGGACCGTCTCTTAAGTTAAATAATATTAAAAAATATACAGGAACTAACAAGAGGCCCATTTCATCCTTTTCCCTCCTCCTCTTTCCTGTTCCCCCATATTCTGTATATTTTATCAAAGTGCCAGTTTCCTTAGAACATAAGCACTGGACTGCATTTGGGTTTATCCTCCTTTGCTGTTCTGTAATCAGGTGCTGATTCTGTACTTGTCCTCTCCTTCAAATGCATGGAGCCCTTCTGTTAGAAATGAAAAATGATGTATGTACTTGATTCGGTACAATGAGATCCATTTGCAAGCCCAGTCGAGCTTTAGATTGTAAGCTTCTTGAGACAAGAGACCTGCCTTTCTTTACTATGCAGAAAGCACCATAAATATCGGTGGCACTGAATAAATGACTGTTTATTGTTGAAGCAAAAAAGGTGTTGCAGTCATTCCTCTTTGTAAGAGAAACAAATTCTTTAAAGAGAACATCCAGTTACTGTTTGATACTCAAATGGCTGTGCAAATTTGAAAGATTGCACTTGTCTTTGCTCACTATGAAATCTTTGAATTTATTAATACTAAGAATCACCTGCCTAGTAGGGGTGTGCGAAACGGGCCCTCTTTGATTCAGATTCAGCCCAGATCAGGGACAGTGATTTGATTCCTTGATTTGGACTGTCCCTGATTCTATTTAGCTGAATCTGAAGATTCAATGCTGATTTGGAGAATCAGCGATTCAGACAGACACAGCTTTAAATGTTTTTTCTATATACCTCGAGGTACCAGTGCGGCTCATGAAGGCTGCAATGGTAGGATGGATGGTGTGTCCCAGAGGAGTGCGGGCAGGGGGCCC